GTTTGCATAAAGTTTAAGAAACATAAAATACAAAAAGCTAAGATTGTGATAAAGTTTGGAAACAACAGTAATTAATAGAAGATATTAATAAGTAATTAGTTGTTTCGGGACAACGAAAAGAATGGTGATGGTATGAAAGAGTATTGTTGTGGTGGGTTGGTTTGGAAAAGACGATACGTATGGGAAAAGTTATCGTCGCAATAAGTCTTCCGTAATAGATTAGCCGGAACGAGATACGTGAACGGAGTTGTAAATCATCTTCCCGCCTTTTATTTAGTTTTTAAATTACCGAAAGTTTTCCGTTATCTCGTCGTCGTTTTGGGACTTCTTTAACGAGGTTTTTTTTTCCCTCCACATGCTCCAGTCAAAACACATTAGGTGCTTCCTGCAGTTTTCTGTCGTATTGGAAATTGTAGTGCAAAGAAAAATGTACACTCTTTTTAGATAACATTACTTTCTTCTTATATCAATTTTTTTTTTATTTTCATATGGAGTTTTGTATGAATAATTTATTGATTTTGGTATAAGTAAAGTTTATTTTTATTGATTCTGTTGTTAAATTGAAACTTTTGTTAATGAAATTAATTTTGTCCTTATTATCTTTTCATTGAATTTTGTATGAAATTACAAGGTGGCGCATAAATAATGTCATAATTTGAATTGTCTGCTATTTTGTTATAAATGGATAAAAAAGAGCTATGTTTTCATCAAAAGTTTATTTGAAAGTGTAAAATTGATGAAATTACTTGAAAAAAAATATATCGCTCAAATGGCCACCTCCCGAGTTGATGCATAATTGCATTTTCAAATTGGCGATTTCTTCTTCAATGTTAGCTTTCAAGACTTTCAAGGTTCGTGGTTTGTTGTGGTAAAAAAATTCACTATATATCTACATCATAAATGTCAAAAAACAGTGACATTTGGCGTCATCTGTAAAAATGGCAGCCAATTCAAATTATGACATTACTTTTGCGCCACTTTATATTAGTTTCAATGAAATGTGATAAAATCGAATTATAATTTGAAATGTAAAACAAAGAGCTTTGAGGTGTGTATCACTCCATGGCTTATTGACAACTAATTTACTATATATCTACATCATAAATGTCAAAGTACAGTGACATTTGGCGCCATCTGCAAAAATGGCAGCCAATTCAAATTATGACATTACTTTTGCGCCACTTTATATTAGTTTCAATGAAATGTGATAAAATCGAATAATAATTTGAAATGTAAAACAAAGAGCTTTGAGGTGTGTATCACTCCATGGCTTATTGACAACTAATTTACTATATATCTATATTATAAATGTCAAAGCACAGTGACATTTGGCGCCATCTGCAAAAATGGCAGCCAATTCAAATTATGACATTACTTATGCGCCACCTTGTATCTTATTTTAGAGTTTAAAGTAGTTTGTATTGATTCTATTCATCAAATAATTGCACTTTGTTTCGTATGCAAAATTGTTAATGTTATAGTAAGTAAAGATAAGTTTAAAGTTTATCAATTACTGATTTGTTACATATTTAATACAAATTAATGCCTAGAAAGTTGAATGTTTCAACATCGCTCATTTTTCTTTTGCATATTAAAAACAATATGAAACATGCAGAAATTCATTACATTACAACATAAATTATCGTGGTTGAAAGTTAATTTGATTAATTTTCTTCATATTTAAGTTATATAATATTTTATAATAAAACTATAATACATACAATCAATCCAAGATGCATATGAAAGCTGAATATTTGGGGAATCTAGCAAATATCGATA